ATTCAGCAAAAAAAAATATATATATATATATATATATCCGGTTATCCTTTTTTTAAAACTTTTTTAGCATGGAACCCTCCTTAACTTTTCGTGATTTGCAATCTAATTTCTAATTTTTTTTCGCAATCGGCTCATTAACGTTACAAATTTGTTGTAATTGAGATCTAATTAAAAACAGTGTTAAAAAATTGTACAGATTTAATCACGAGATGCTAACGTGCATCACTTACAGGGGCATTCATGGTAAGTGATGCAAGTGATGCATGTGAGTATGACGTGATTAAATCCATAAAATTTTTTAACATTGTTTTCAATTGGACTTAATTACAACGAATTTGTGACGTTAGGGAGCCGATTGTAAAATAAAAGTTTAGGGATCAGATTGCAAATTGTGAAAAGTTAAGGGGGCCTCATGCCAAAAAAATTTTTTTGTCCAAATATTTCGAGAATTCATTGATCAAGGACGCGTCACAGTGACGATGAAATACGTCAAGTGCTTCGTGACGTTAGAATTTTTAGGCCTCATTCATTTTATCGATTTGAGTTTTGAATTCCAATTTTACTACAGTTAAAAGCTCTTACAAAAAATCGCATATAATTTTTTCTGCTTCAGTTAAAAAACTCTCACATAAAGTCACATCTCAGCTCAAATTAAAAACTGAACAAGACCTTAGAATTACTATTTTTTAGAAGGTGTATTAAGGATTTTCTTTTTTTCTTCCAAGGAAAGGATAAGGTGGTTTTTTTTTTCTTTTTGGTTTTTATTAGTAGTAGGAGTAGATGATATTTTATTTTTTCTATCCTATTATAGTATACACATTTTTTATTATTAACCTTTTTAATCATAATTATTTTTTATTAAAATAGTTCAACTTAAATAATTTAAACAAAAAAAGCAATATTAATTTCATATTGTATTTTAAAGGTCAATTTTATAAATATTTATTTATTAAATACTGAATAAATCTATCTTTCTCTCCTCTTCTTCTTTTTGTGATCCCGTTATTTATATATGATGGATTTTACTTAATATATAAACTCATGGGGCTTTGCACTATTTATACTTTATTATTAGAAAAAAGTTGGAAAACTCCTTTAAAAAAAAAGTTGGAAAATTTAGGGCTTGCCTTTTTAAGAAAAAAATGTAGTCCTATTCCAATTATTTAAAACAGAATATAAGACTCCAGCACTATTAAAAGAGAATTCAAGACTGACAATAGTATATACAATCTATTGTGTGTCGGATAACTTCGTGATCTTCACATGTCAAATGATTGTACATATTTTCACTTATATCTTACTAACTAGTTGATTATTTTGCGCGTGCATATGTATATGGATCTTATATGTTCTTACCTGTGCATATGTATTTTGACATTAACATCAGGAGACAATTAGAGAGGGAAACAATCTTGGAACTCATCGTATATTGGGGGGAAAAAAAAAAGGAATGACTCCATAAAAAGAGGATGAATTACTAATATTTAAAAGGTTGAATTTTGGTAGTCTGAAAAGAAAAAGACGAATTTCGTAACTTCTTTCTCGCTAAAAACAGAAAAGTCCGCATATTTGTCAACAAGATTACTTTATATTAATTAATTTACATATCAAGAAAGAGAAATCACGGCATTTTTTAACATATTTGATGAGTCCTTACTCCTCTGGCCTCTTGACGTGTATAATTGTTTCAATGAAAGTCGGACTCCTTTCTAATACAACAAAATAAACATAAGGGAATGAAATTGTGTTTTGACTTCTGAAAAATACACAATCCATTAAAAAAAACTGAAAAAGAAAGTAAAAAACAACACAAGATGGGGAAATTTATTAGATGAATTATACTTAAAATTTTCAATTGATCTCGTCCTCATCGAAGCAATATCCCTACGAATCGAAGTCATTCACATATATATATATATATATATATATAGTCGAACATTTATTTAGAGTTGCATGATATTAGGAGTACCAATTCAAAGATGGTGTACTTTAATTGTGAACACGGAAAAAACAATTGTTCCAATTGGGCAACTGGCATATTATATTTAATTAATACACTCAATATATAGTCCATCCTTATCCCTCAATAGCTTGGCCTTGGTGTAAATGGGAGAGAGGCTTTACTTTTATTATAGGCTAGATTCTAATCGTCATCTTATTTTGTATGTGAGAAACCGAAGGGAATATGACTCTACATTGAGTGCAAGGGTTGGGGGTTAGAATATCTTAAATGGCAATATATTCCACTTTATGACGAATATTGGGATTGCAAAATTTTGGACTCCGAATTGCCTTGAAAACGACTTGGAAATTTGTTCCAGAATGAAGTGCAATGAAAGAGGTTTGAGGAATTTTGAGTTGTAGGATTGTTATAAAAGTCCTAATTCTTAAGCTTTTAGTTGCTTAAATTTGTGGATTTTGAAATTGTCTCAAATAGCTCTACTAGCCAAGAAAAGCAAAAAACAAAGAAGAGTTGGAAATCAGAACTCTGTGGCGTGTTCAAATACAAGCCACGCTTTAATATATATGTGTATATATCTATATGAAGAACAATGAACAAATAAATACACACCACACATAACACTGACAATAGGCCCATTTCACATCTTTCGTTAATACACTTAATTATTCCAGAAAAAATATAGGGCCACAAATTTATGACAAACGTTGGCATTGCAAAATTTTGGACTCAGAATCCTTCAAAGCGACTTGAAAATTTGTCCCCAAAGTGGAATTCTTTAGTTAAAGATGTTTGAGACTTTGGAGTTGTAGCCTTGCAGGATTGTAATAAACTGCTCGTAATTCTTAAGGGTCAGTTGCCTAAAGTTGGCTAATGTGAAATAATGTCTTAAATAGCCAACTATCCAACCCCAAAAGCAAGTTGGAAATTAAGAAATATTAGTCTATACAAAATAAAAATACGCATGCCATACTTTTTAATATATGTACATGTGTGTATAATATATGAAAAAAAAAAAAACAAAAAACAAAAACAAGCCACAGCTAGCGTTCACCATATGTAACATTTTGATATTTAATTGTTAGAAATTGAAAAACTAAACAAACAAACATGAATAAAAGCTCAACTTATAAGAATAAATCTCTTATGGTGTTCTAAAAATGGCTAAATGATCTTTTAGGAAATAACCACCTTAATATGTAACTTATGCTCGTGTTTTTTTTTTTTTAAATAGTACATTCAAATATCAATTATCTAATTTTAGCAGAAAAAAAAACACTTGTCTAAAAGTGATACTCTCCAATTTTTTCCTGAAAAAGGTATCATTCCTCCTATTCATCCAAAAAGATTGTAAAAATTACACTACATGACAAGCCTATAAGAACAAAATTGAAATATAATTTTTTTTAAATATTTAGAAATAATAAAAACTACATAGTAATTATTTTGTTAACATTCATAATTATACTACAAAGCTACGTAGTAATTATTATAATGATATTAATTTTTATACTCAATAAAATATTATAAATTTTATCTTCTTCTATTTTTTCTGAATTTGGAAGGGGAGGGATTCAAACTCCTTACTTTATGACGGAGTCATATGTGAAATTATTATTAAACTATGTATGTAACTACAAATTTTGTCATTTTTCGACATAAAAAACACAAAACAAAACAAAACAGACATAGAGAAAAGTAATAATCAAGTGTGTTATTTTCTTTTATTTTGTGTTTATTAATTGAATGAAAATTATTTATATTTAGGTAAAGTGACATAATTAATAGGACTCTTTAGAGTTTAATTATAGCAAAAATTTTAAAATATTATAAGAACAGCAAAAATTTAATATCATTAAAATAATGATTTTTTCATTATATAGTATAAAACTAGTAGATTACCCGTACATTTGCACGGGTATGTAATAGTGTAATTAACAGTAATTTAAATAAATAAAACATATAAAAACACACACACACACATATATATGTGTGTGTTTATAAGTTGTTGTACATCTATAACATGTATATATATATACATATTTATTTATATGTTTATATTTGTACATAAAAATATGCATACTTATTTACATATATACAGAGATTTATTCATATAATTATTTCTTTTTCTTTTCGCTTGTCGTTTCTTCTGAGCTGTAGATAAGAAGGAAGAAAATAAGGAAATAAATATTATTAAATTGTAACAATTGTTAATAAATGTGTTCATACTTATTAAAATATTTAATATAACATATAACACATAATTTTACCTGATTTGTTTTCTTTTTTTTGATGAACTTGCGAAAGAGGTAGATTCGTGAGGGACTGAAACAGACTGAATTGGCTTTGAAACTGATGATGTTTCTTTTGAAGACTCAGTTGTTATAGGTGGTAAATACAACTGAGGTTGATCGTCGTTGAAAGTCTTCAAAATAACTTTATCAATAAAAGCTCCCCGAGTACAAAACTGTATGACAAATATTTTTGATATTCCTCTTATTTCCTCTAAAACAGGAGGAATCATGTAGCGATCAGTGTATCCCTCATCATAAGTAAGTGTAGAGCAAGCTTTGTTAATAAGTGACTGCACAGTTTTACCGAACATTACAGCGTCTGTTCTTCCAGTGTTATCTTCAATTTGTATATTTATTTTGTACCTGTGTAAGAAAATTAAATTAAATTTATTGTATTTGTTAATAGAAAATTAAAGCGCTTGTTTTTTATAATAGAATTTAGTACCAAGTAAGTGGCATTGTAGATAGATATTCATCGGTGTCACACCACCATGATGTTCCAGATTCTTGTACTTGTCTGTAACACTTTGTGCAGGCATAGTAAAACCATCCTTGATGTGTATATAAATCAGTTATAGTTGCTCTAACTATATATTTTGTTTCTTGTTATGTTGAAAAGGGAACAGTTTAGTTCAATATATATACATATTATATTTAATGGATTATATTTATAAAATTTGTACCCGATTTTGGAATGCATCTAATGCTCGTAATTCTGCGATGGTAATGCGATTTGTGTTTTTTTGGTCTTCTAATGATATTGCTGGCCTCGCTGATGTAGCAACATAATCCAAACTCTGAATAGAATGACGAAATCTATATAAATAGAATTTGTTTTATGTCAATAAATGAAAATGAGAAGATACATATATGTCAACATTGAGAAAATTGAGTATTTTTTGTTATACCTTTGTTTAATTCTTCGTGTTTCTGGAATTTCTGGATCTAAAAAGTAAAAAAGTACCATATGTGTTTGATAAATAAAGACTCCTGTAATAAATAGAAATTTATAGTTAGTTTTGTAAAAAATTGGAATATAATATATTATAATATGAGTAATAACCTTGGTACTGTTTGGCCGCCATTGCTGTAAAACCAATAACAATTGGTTCCGTCATTGACTGCACAACAGTTTCATTGAAAAGTTCTCCCATTTCTCCCCAAAGCGTTATATTTAATTGTTCTTCTCTGTATTAAGTAATGGAAAACATGATTATAAATATTTAAACATGAATATTTTTTTATTATTTATTATTATAATAATAATTTCTATTGTATTTACCTTATGTTCTGAATCGTGAAACTTCTTCTTTTGACAATTCTTTCATTGATAGCTGGTTCTTCAATACCATGAAAGGATATGAGTCGACCAATTACATCTGATACAAATATTACATATATAATCAATTAGTTTTAACAATTATAAAATGAGAAATAATTGATTAAAAATTATAAATAAATAAGTAATAAAATAAACAAACCTGAGAGAATATCGTTTACATCGATCCTTTGAGTAATTTGATCAAATTCGACAAAAGAAAATTTTTATCGAGGTATTTTAGGCATGTCTTCAGCAACATGTTTGAAAATTGTTGCTCTAGCTATCTGCAACATTGCCACATGAGGAACAATTTTATATCTTGGTTTGTTACGATCGATGAAGAAGTTATTAATTTCATATATATTTCCTTCTTCAATTATTTGACTCATGTAGTCAGCATCTCTTGATCGGATAACTGCATGTATTGCTTCGTGCTGTAAAATTATAAACTAGATTTTCTATTGTTATACATTGAATAATAAATATATATTTCTATATATTTATAATTATATAATGTATAGAAAGAATATATTTGATTACGTCTTCATCAACCAACAATATATCAAGACTGATAAGCTCTCCTGTCTTGTAGTCTACATTTCTCCATAAACGACATATTCGAGCACGAATAGTCAAGTGTGTTTCACCAGGTTTTAAGATTCTTATTGGTGCAAACATCTTGTTCAAACTGAAAAATAATATAGAAAATATAATAATTCATAATATATAAATGGAAAAGAATATTGTATTATAATAATTTATAATAACACTTTAAAAATCATAGGATGATTTTATAAAATGTTATAAAATTATATACATTATAAAATAATAATGGTATTATAAAATTTTAACAATGTTAAAATAAAGTTGATAAAAATGATATTTCGTATATTGATTTAATTATTTAATTATAATATAATAAAGAGTAAATAAGTTAATATTTATTAATATTATGTAATATTTCTTTATACACAACATTTTTTATATAATTTGGATATTTATTTATTGATTCGTGTATTAAAATATTTAAACCTTTTGGTGGTGTAACTCTTAATAAAGCTACGTATAATTGTCCATGAGAAAAAACTTCATTCTCTAAATATATACTAATTTTTTCTAATGATTGACCTTGACTTTTATGTATTGTCATTGCGTAACATATTTTTACAGGAAATTGCCGTCTTTTTAAAACAAATGGCCATTTGGATTCATTTATAGTTAATTCTATTCTAGGTATATAAACTTTAATATTTGTATCAACAGAATTAATAATATGACCTTCAATAATTCTATTTGTTAATTGGGTAATTATCAATCTAGTACCATTACATAAACCTTGTGACTGATTAAGATTTTGTAATAACATAATAGGAATTCTGATTTTTAATTTTAATTCATGTGGTGGTAAATTATTAAAATTTAATGTGTGTAAAAATTCAGGAGGATATAATAGATTTAATTCATCAAGGTTTCGAGATGGGGAAATAATTGTATCATAATTGTAATAAATGTTCTCCTCTGTAGGTATTAAAGATAACATAAAATCATTTATTTCATCTGTTATTTTATTTCTAGGTGCTACAATTGCACGATTTTTTATATATTTAATATTATCATAATTACTTTTAAAATAATCATATACTATAGTGGAAATATGTTCAATCGGATTTTTATCATATTTTATAAAATATTGTTCAGGTATATTAATCCAAGTAGCATCTTCGTTTTCAGGATCTTTTATTCCATCAAGTGTTCCATTTTTGATATTTAGTATCCAATTAGAAAATTTTTTAATTTCAGTTTGTTCATCAATAGAACTGTTTGGAATTTTTAATCTCATATTTTCTGTCAATGTTAGTACACGGAAATATGTCCAAAGATAAGAATTATTAATACTTGCATTAATAATGTTTTCTTTTGTGCCTCCTGGAATAACAGGTAAATTTTGTCTAAAATCACCACCTAAAATAACTGTCATTCCTCCAAAAGGTTGACTAAAGTTATTTCTCAAGTCTTGCATTGTTTTATCTAAAGCTTCAAAACAGTATTTATTATTCATTGGCACTTCATCTCATAATATTAAAGTTATTTTCTCCATTAATTTTGCTAACTGAGTATTTTTTTTAATTTGACATGTTGAAAATTTGTCGACTAAAAGAGGGATACAAAAATGTGAATGTGTTGTACGACCATTTGGTAAAAGTAATGATGCTATTCCAGATGATGCAACTGCTAATACTATTTCACCTTCTGATCTAATTTTGTTAATAAGTGTATTCCATAAATATGTTTTTCCTGTACCTCCATATCCATATACGAAAAATAAGTTATCATAGGTTTTTTTAAGTGATTTTAAAATTTCATTATAAATATAATATTGTTCATGGTTTAAATTATTTATTAAATTTATATTTTCTTCTTTTAGTTTTTTTTATCATAATTGAGTTCTTCTCTTAAAAGTTTATTATCTAAATCTTCAATTAATGATCCTGTTGGAAGTGATATATTAAAATTTGTTATAGAAGATGCATTTAAATTTAGTAATTTTTCAAAATCGTATAATACAAAATTATATAATTCATTATCTGGGATTTGAAATGTTGAATTGTTGAATAATTTTTTTAATTTATATATAATATCATCACACATTAAGTTCCAGTGATTTTCTAATAATTTTATTGGGTCAGATACATTACAAAATAATAAAATGGTAGTAAAAAGTTGACGAAGTTGAGTAGATGTTGACCAACATGATGCTTCTTCAATTGATTCATTCCATTCTTTATCATCTCCTAATAAACCTAATGCATGACAGGCTTGTTGATATGTTGGATAAATAGTATTATTAATTGTTCGAATTGATTCAAAACTTGTTACACCTTTTTGATGATTTAATAGTAATTTTAAATAAAATAACAACTGGGAGGAATATGAAACATTCTTCCAATAGTATGTCCATTTTGTCGTTTTGTCCAAATTCTATCTTTGTGTTTCCAAACCCATTTTGTTGGAAATTCTATATAAGTAAGTTCTCGAGCTTCTTCATGTATCTTATTAATTTCCATCCATTCAGTTAGTGTTGTTTTTTTGTTATGAGGTAAATTAATTATATTATGTAATTGTTGATTTTTATTAAATGTAATGTTTTGCATGTTTGGTAAATGAATTGTAAGTCGTTGAATAGCTGGATTTCTATGATGTATTGAGTTTTCAAATAATCTTCAAATTGCTTCATAGGGTGTAATATATCAACAATTAAGATATGTTTTTATTTCATCAATTTCTTTTGTATTTGTTTCTTTTGTAGTATCTGTAATGTTAATATCTTATATAATAGCTCTTATTCCGTCTGGTCCTTTTGTTAAATATTTAAATAAGTATTTTATGAGCATTGATTGAGAGCATATTTCAACATTGATGTGAGCTTGATATTTTATACATAATGTACGATTATATGGAACAACAAATCTGTTATCAAGTTGTATTCCTTCTTTAATAGTATTCAAAGTAGATTCTCTACGTCGGTAACTAACAAAACCATTTTCTTCTATGCTTGTTTCGTTTTTATATTGTTTAGGGGATTTTTTTGTACATGTTGAGTTTTTCATACATGGAGCATTTATTTTTGCATATCCACATGGGCCATGTATCATTAAATCAGTAACAACTTTATAACCTAATGGATCGTATTCTGAATTTGGGATTTCTGCTGATATAATTTTATCTATTTGTATTGGATCTCGATATTTATCTTCTCTATGTAACCAAAATAACATATGACAATGAGGAAGACCATGTTTTTGGAATTCGACAACGTATAAATCTACAATAATAGAAAAAAACATTGAGACAAAAAAAATTAGTAACATATATTAAATAAATGTAAATATTTTTGTTTCAAGTAGTAAATAAATAGAATATAAAAGAGTACAATAAAATGAAATAATTTACCTGCTATTATGATTCTGAAAATCTGTCTAGATTTTATTGTATGTAATAAATGGTCTAATTTTATTTTAAAAATTCTACTTATGATATCTGGTCTATCATTAGATTTTTGTCCTGGAAGTAAAGCTAAAGCTCTTATAATTTCAGGCCATTTAGGATTGCATGTAAATGTCAAGAAAATATCAGGGTTTCCATAATATCTACATATTGCCATTGCGTCTTGATAAATTTGAATCATATATCTTAGACTTCCAGTATGAGATGACGATAAAATAATTCTTTTTCTAATTGTTTGAGGGTCAGTATCACCTTTAGTTATAGCATCTTGAATACCTTTATAAAAGTCAAATCTTAAATTATTTTGATTATGTCTAACAAAATCTAATCGATCTTCTTCAACAGTAGCATAGGCATCTGTAATATATTGTTGAAATAATCTACCACTTTTAAACAATGTATTCCCTTCTTTTAAACGTTGGTGTAACTAAAAAGCATAAAATGATCTCATTGAAATTCATTTTTTAGATGGTTTGTTCCCTATAAATTCAGGATTCCATCCTATATTAGGTCTATATCCATCTTCACCATAAGAAAACAATAAACGGTATTGTAATGACATATAAGATGGATGGAGTTTATTAATTCTTTGTAGGTCACCTGTTTGATTACATATAAT